TCCCCAGTGGGGGGCGTGCAGGAGGGGCAGGCGATAGGATTCTCTCTCATCACTGAGGTTTCTGTCTCCCTTCCTCTCTGAAATCAATAAAAAATATTTAAAAAAATAAAAAGATAAACACAAAAATGTGTCACAATTCTCGAAGCTTGTTTTTACGGTGCATCTGTATCTGCGAGTTTCCTTCCTTTTCTAAAAATGCCGTTGACGACGGAATCCGCCAAAAATAAAAATAAAAAGGGGCTTGGACTCAGATCGAGTTCTACTTGGGCAGAAAGACTCTAACCCGCGTCGTAAAAGGTTGTGTTGTGGGCTGGTGTCCCTGATGCCCGGACGCCTCAGCTTCCAGGCCGCAAGCGGGTGCGGCCGTGCTGGGCTGAGGGCTTCTACTCCGAACGAGGCCTGGAGCCAGTTTCTAAATAAAGAATCTGAAACATCTCCTCCCCACACCTCCCGCATGAAGAGCTGTTAACATCAGGTTATCTCCTCTCTGGTCTCTGCACGTTGAATCCGACCCCTCTTTTCCTCTGTCTTGATCGTGCTGTGTTCTTCACAGGTGCTTTGAAGTAAAAACACCTCCCATCTATTTTCTCTGTTTCCCAAACGGCTTTATTTATGTGGGAACCGGGGAGATGTGTGCGAACCCCCCTCCCGGAGCTGGGAGAGTCCTGACGCCTGGCAGCGAGCCGAACCGCGGGCGCATCTGTAGTTATAAATAGAGAATGCACTTACATAAATCAGCTCCGCGAGGTCTTCCTAAAAGTTTTTAAAAAGTGGTTTATCTTCTCGGCTTTAGTGATATTGGTATGAATTGGGTCTATGCTACAAATCAAACTTAAAGCCCCACCACCTGCCGTTGTTTAAAAAGGGCTTCACTGAAGATTTCCGTTTCTGCCAATGAAAGAAAAGGGTGATGAAGGGTAAGAAAACAAGGAAAAGACACAGCCTGTCCCTGTCTCGCTCTCGTCTCTGACGTGATAGCCTGAGACCGAGGCAGCCCGAGCAGGGGGTCCCCACGGAGTCCCAGCCCCCCCCCCCATTCTGGAGGCTTCCTTCTCTCCTGTTTTTTAAAAAATATATTTTTGTTGATTTCAGAGAGGAAGGGAGAGGGAGAGGGAGAGAGAGAGAAACATCAATGATGAGAGGGAATCATGGATCGGCTGCCTCCTGCACGCCCCCCACTGGGGATGGAGCTCACAACCCGGGCCTGGGCCCTGACCGCCTGGTTCATAGGTCAACGCTCAACCACTGAGCCACGCCGGCCAGGCCACTTGCTTACTTTCCAGTCGGCTGGGGCCACGGTGCGAATGGAAGAAAACGAGCCGCGGCCTCGCGAGGGGAAATGTCGGGCTCCCTGAACTTCCCATCCTGTTTTGTAAGAGCAGAGCCGGTTCCCACACGGGGAGGTGTGTGATTGGCGCCTCTGTGAGCAGATGGCCCTGCACACGCCCAGCTGGTTGGAGGGCGCCGTGTTCTCTCCGTGGAGCGAATTACCTGCCACAGGAGCAGCCGGCCACGCAGAGACGATAACCTTGGAAAGTCGGGTCACGCTGCCCAGGTCACGCTGCCCAGGGCTCCCTTCCCAGAGCTGCTGCGTGCTGGCCCGTGTCCGAGGAGGTTAAGGCGCCGGTGTGGCTGGGTCAGGTGTACGTGTCTGTCAGCTGCTCAGACTGGAGGGGCCCGGCCGAACTGTGAGGGACGCGGGTGTGTGGACGCCCAGGTCGCTGCAGCTGAAAATGCCATGTGAGCAAAAACATTGGAGATACCGACTTCCAAAGTGTCCGTCACACCCAGGGACGCAGCTTGAATATTTATCCAGGACAGAAGCAGTCGAGTTATATCCCAGATTATAAAACGAGCAAACGTAACCATCAAAACCAGCCTTTCGTACGGGTTCCATCTTAAAAACGGCAGCCGTTGGCCAACCATGCCGCTGGACGGAGTCTCCTGTCACTTCTCTCCTGGTTTATAGGAGACAAAGTGACTGCGTGGAAATGATTTTAAAGCAATATTCAACTTTGTTATTAAAACCTGGCTCGTTAACTGTTAGTGTTCATTATCTAAAGACAATACCTGAATCCCTCTTAAACATGCTTTGTAGCAACACTGTTCTGAAAGGAACATTGTTTTTACTCATTGCCTATATGCTCTTTAGAAATCCTATATAATAAAAGCCTAATATGCTAAGTGTGTCCGGTTGGCTGTTCAACCAATCAAAGCGTAAATGCTAATGATATGCTAAGGCCACTCAACCGCTCGCTATGATGTGCACTGACCACCAGGGGGCAGACGCGCCAACTGGTAGGTTAGCTTGCTGCTGGGGTCCGGCAGATTAGGACTGAGTGAGATGGGCTGGACACACCTGGAGCCCTCCCGCAGTCCCTCCCTGGTTGGCCACTGGCTGTTCAACCAATCAAAGCATAAATGCTAATGATATGCTAAGGCCAC